TTTAACATCAGTAACATATATTAAAAGATAACTTTAATAATAAACAATACATTTTCTTTATAAATGTTTTTACTTTTCATAAATAACTCAAAAAATAGATAACATAGAGGCAAAAAAGTAAATGCCTGCAGAGCTGAATTTAAATGCCGTCTTTTAAAGGTTAATTTAGTTTTGTACATCAGAGTTAAATATTATAAAATCATGCAGATTAAGATTGGAGTGACTGAATAATAAAAATATCCCATTATCAATCATAGTACTATTTATAAAGGCGTGTATACAAGTTATAAGAATTGTTCTGGTATCACATGCGGAAAAACAAATAGTACCAAAGATACATAGTAAAAGGAAGTGCTCCTTCTCCATTAACAGCTGGGCCCCTGAGTCCCCAGATTCTCTTGCTCGTTCATCTAAAATGCAGCTTCCAGCATGCTTCATACTTATTGGTGTTTGTGTGTGTTTGTTGTTGTTTTTTTCTGTAAATGAGAGAGTTCCGCTCTAGAGCTATGTGTAGCTGGAATGTGGAGGATGACACGCAAGGTAGGTGCAGCATCACGACCCTCGTTTGTGCTGATACTAACCACCCACAGCCACCACTCCCACGAAAGGAACTGTTCTTGCCCTCTCAGACTTGGTGCACCTTTAAGTCCCTGGCATACCCTTCATAGCGACGTTGTATGCACGTAATGAAGAGGTGCGCGGTCAGTGAGGGCTGTGGGTATAGTTAACATTTCTGTTAAAGCGCCTGCCCTCTTGTTGCAGAATTTTTTCTGACTCCTGCCTAATTTCCGATCGGCAAGTATTTATTTACTGGTGGAAATTGGGATTGCCAGCTGTCTTTATAAATAGTCAGCTTCATTCAGTGTCTCTGAACTGCAGTTAATTGATCCTGTCTACTTAACCATATGAAGCTGAGACCAAGCCTCAGGTGTTTATTGTGCAAGCTGGAGAGAGCAGGAGCTCCTGGCTAACAGAAGTTCTCATTAAGAAAGTGCTAAAGACCACAAGACAAACTGTAGCTCAGGAAGTGGCCGTCTATGGCTTTCTAAACTGATACCTGTGTTAAATTTTATGGTGCATGAGAAAGATTAAAGGGGAGGGGCAACACCAATTGTGTTTTTTTCCAAAACCAGTTCAGCAGTTATTTACCTTTCAAGCAATTAACATAATTACCATTATGCTAAAAAGTGATTTTGGAAAGTTCTGCCCTGAGCTCTTACGACTCCACCGGGACAGTTTTAGTTGGGACTTATCTTTTTGATGGAAGCCTAATTGCAATTTTGGCTTTGTGCACACAAACAGAAGCAGCTAATTGTTTAGGCAAATAGCAGATTAATTTAAATATGCATCCCTAATAAAACAAAAATGGTATCCATTATGGTCCCCGTTCCCATGATGGGGAATATAAATATTCTGTGCAAGTACCATTAGGCGGAGGTCTTAAGGATCGTCGGCATTATTTCACAGTGGTAGCACTTGCCTGATATCGAGTAATCTTTACAAAAGCTAGCATAAATCAGTTTAAACTCATTTAGATCCCATTTCCACTATGTGCAGTTTCATTACCACACTCTGGCTGGCCTCCTTTGGGAGGTGGGAGGAGCACGCTTGCAAACTGGCATGGGTGCCCATCCACAGCTGCTGAGCAGGCTTTATGTCTCTTCAGAAGACTGGCCATCGTTACTCATGTCATCCCTAATGACTGTTCCTAGTCTAGGGTGAACCAGGAGTTCCTTCAGCCCCGCTGCCCATGTCAAGGTGGAGGGTCCTGAGCCCAGAGAGCAGGTGGGACTGCCAAGCCCTACTCCTGTCTGTCGGCCAACGGCCTTCACTCATTGTGTTCTTCCAGATTTTTTGAGAGACCCTTTTCCTTTTGTCTGCACTCTTGTAGTAAATGAAACAGCATTGTTGCGATCCTAGCACTAGCTTAGGGTGAAACATCTTTCATCTAGCTGTTGAGGTTCTGTTGCAGAGAAAGACAGATATCTGCTCACCTTCCAGTTTTCCCGGTGGGGAGCAAATGGGGGCCCTAAACCTCAGCTCTTGGAGATTCTGCCTGTTTCAGGGAATGATAGCAATCACCCGCCTCTTAAGTCACCAGTAAGGAACTACACAGAACCTCCCTCTGCATTGGCTGAGGTTTCCTTTTGTTTACCTTGGCCTGGCAGGCAGGGTAAATGTGGTAGACACCTTTCAGGGTACCTCCTTGATCTGAGTTCTCCCCAGCCCCTCTAGGGGTGGCATGTTCATAGTACTTGAGTTGGTCTTTTGGCCTCAGCTGGTTGGACAAGGATGGGGATCCTTATGGCCCTGTGGGGGGGTGGGGAGCAGCTGCTTCATGGACTGGGATGAGCTGGTTGGGCCTCAGACTTTCAGTCTCAGTTGTGCGGTTGGAATTGATGACTTCATGGAGTTGGGAACGAGGAAGCTAGTTTGTGGAGGTAGAGAAGATTGAGACAGCTGCAGAGAGAAGCAGAGACAAGATACGTGGTGAGACATACATAACTGCCGTAGTTCCGAATGTTTTCCTAGAGCCGGGCTCCGATCCTTACAATCTCTAGCTGTACTTCCTGCCCGTGGGTTCCGTGAAACAGCCTTTTTCCTTTCCAGTCAGTTTTCTTTTGTACTTAAGCCATTTCAGTGGATTTGTTTCTTACAACCAAATGTTCTCTTGCTAGAGGAAGACAAACGCTCAGCAAACCTTTGCTGACACTCAGCTGCGTTCAGTACTCTGAGTTCACTGCCACAGGGAGGGGAACAGAAAAAGCACACACCTGTGTCGTTCTGTACCTGCCGTATGATGAAACTCAGAACAGTAAAGAGTTTTGCCACAACAAAGGGTTTTGGCTACTAAGCCAACAAAGGAATTAAAACAGAAAAAGGGGGAAAACTCGCAAAGAACAAATGGGACAAATAGAAAACAAACAGAAAAATGGTAGATTAAACCCACTCTTACCAATAATCACATTAAAGATAGTCTAAACACCCCAGTAAATGGCAAGACCAACTATATGCCATTTATAAGAAACTCACTTTAAATGTAAAGACATGGCAAAGTGAAGACAAAACTATATACTGTGCTAACACTAATCCAAAGAGTGCTGGGGTGGCTGTGTCAGTGTCAGACAAAGTAGATTTCAGAGCAAAAGAGTATAACCAGGGACAAAGAAGGGTGTTTCATACAATGAAGGGTCAATTCATCAAGAGGACATAACAGTCCTAGTGTTTATGCACCATAAAGTGGTCCTGGAGGACCGTGCAGATGATAATGGCACCCTTGATGAGTGAGGATCTGACCAGGTTCTACACTTAAACAGCTGAAACAGAGAAAATTACAAAGATGACAGCACAGCAGGCATTCAGAAGAGAGTTAAATCGACGGAGCCCGAGAATGTGTTTTCCAGAAAGACCCCGCTTAGGATAGCTCTGTGAAACTCAACCTGTGGTGAAGGCTATTTTATTGCATACGATTCTATTGGGAAAACGATGCCAGCAAAACCAATACTTGATTAATAATGAAAAATATGTTTATAGATAAACTCCATGTGTGCTTAGAGTGAGCTGTGGTTGAATAACTTCCACACTTGGCAGAACACGGGATGAGTTTACGTCAGTTACTCAGCGATCTCATAGTTATTTTATGCACTTGTAACTGCAGCTGCTCATCCTGCACTTTTCTAGCTAAATTCCAGCCCAGCCTCATCCCGTACCAAGTGGCTTTGGACAGTTGTTGAACCACTTGGAGCTCCTGTCTCTCCTCTTTTGTAAAATGAAGATAAGGGCGAATGCTCCTCCAAAGACGGAAGTGAGCACCGGATGAGAGTAGACAGATGAAAGTGTCTGAACGTTGGAAAGCTCTACGCAAGAAGCAACTTTTATTTCTCTTTACTGCCGATTGTGATGTCTCCCAACAAATGTCACACGGAAATATTTGGAAGAGGCGCGTCTTGGAATGCTCCCGTCTCCTATTTTATGTGCAGAGCCATTGGCATTTTCTGCTGTATGTCTGTTTCTTCCAAGTCGGGAGGGAAAGAATTTGCCAAAATATTTGCTGGGGAATGTGTTGTGGAGCCTTTTGCGATCTGCTTACCCCCCGAGTTTATCATAATTCCTGCACTTGAGATACTGAGCGCTCTGTTTTACATACGAAGCAACGTTTAACTCTAAAGTTCAGCTTCAGTTGGTAATCACCTACTTAAGTCTACTGACAGTTTGAAAGTCTGGCAGAGCAGCCCAAATGTATTATTTTCTTTGGACTGTATTTATTTAGTGCTGAAGGATACTTTATAGTAAGATTGTAAGTTCAGAGCATTTATTGTTTAAAGACAAAGTACAAGGCAAGGAAAAGAAAGATGGGAGATGGATCAGAAGAAGAAGAAATATGAAAAGCTTTATCTGTTTTCGGTAATAGGAAGTTATAGGTAATAGGACTGGATTTATGGATGAGCAGTGGAGGAAACTGGTGTTATTAATAGATTAAATGTGCTTCATAGCACAGCAGGAACTGTAGAATACATAAAAATAAGTGACTGCCCTGTCGCCAGCATTTTACATATTTTATAACTTTTAATCTGCCCAACAGTCCTGTGTGGTAGGTAATGTAACCTTCAGTTTTACAAACGAGGGTCCATAAAGCACCAGAGCCACTGGGGCTAGGAGAAGTGGTGAGGAAGGATGTAAAATACTTTTAGTGGCTGTTTTCCCTCCTTGCTAGTGTCTAGAACAGTGCCTGGCCTAGCACAGGTGCTCGGTGGTTATTTGTGGCGTGACTGAGTGGACAGATAGAACAGTGAGTTAAGGACTCCCTGTGTTAACACTACTCAGCCATTAATATATGTACGCCCACTCTCCTTAGGTCTCTCTCATAAAAACTTTTTTTTTTTTTTTTACCATTTTACCCTTTATCTTTTAATTTTCTCTACAGTAAACTATTGTTATTTCATATTTGTGCATATGAAGCGAATTTAAAATTATTGCCTGCATTGTTTTCCTCTGCGTAGGGTTTCTTAATATCTGGGACCTGAGGATTGGCAAATACCCTGTTCACCGCTTTGAGCACGACGCAAGAATACAGGCAGTGGCCCTCAGCCAGGAAGGTGCCACCGTCGCCACGGCCTCTGCCTTTGACGTCGTCATGTTGCACCCCAACGAGGAGGGCTATTGGCAGGTAGCCGCAGAATTTGAAGTTCAGAAACTGGTGAGCTCTCAGTCTGGTCATTTCATTTTTCATTCTTAGAACCTCTGAACCTAATATAAACAAACAGTAGTGAGGTTGGCAGCTCCCATTCACTCGGGATCCCTGTAGCCTCACATTGTAAGTCTCAGGATGCCTTGTGAAGTGGGTGCAGCCAGACGATAGAAACTCGGAGCAGGGCCGGGCCCGCCCCAGTCTCAGAGCTGAGAAGCTGTGACTGGGCCCCAGGGCTGACACCAGGGGCAGAGCTTCTCGTCGCCGTGGTCCTCACCCTCTCACGTTCCCAGGGTGTCCCCCCCTGCAGGCTCCGCGATCAGGTTCTGGCCTCATACACGAGTGAAACTGAGTTCAGTGGTGTCATCCCAGTCCTCATGGCAAGAAGGGTTCCCTCCTCAACCTTCTTCACCCGAGTGTTCCTCACCTGGAATAAAGACAGTTTTGAGAGAAAATAGATTAAAGCCAGTGTTATTTGTGCGGCCCTGTCCCAGGATGCCACGCGTGGAGAGCCAGCCTTAAAGAGTTCTTTACGTGGAGCTTGCTTCTGAGTTCAGGTGTACCGGAGCCTCTGCCTTCGAGTGTAGGAGGTGATCTGGTGGTAGAAGGAAGAGCTTAAACCTGTCTGTGCTGAATTTGGATTTAATTTCAATAAGCCTGATTTTGGCACTAGGAGGAGAGTGAACAGAAGAGCCAGTGATGGGTAATAAACTGATGGCCTGGCCTGGAACACACCCCGTTCCTCTCCCTTTTCCTCCTGCAGGAAGTCTTGTTCCATTGAATAACTAAAAAGCCACGTGCTGCTGCTTCACCTCTGTAAGCTTCCTGGCCCTTTAATGATCAACTCTCTGCAGTTAGGGTTTAGTGTTCCCCCAAAACTGCCTGAGGCTGTTTTTCCCATCCTGGGTTTTATTAGAAAAATGTGAAAGCACCGTAATTGTTTGTTCGCACAACTACTATCGTGCTTATATTACCTGGTCGATGACTAAGGAACACTATAGACGGGCAATAATTATATGAACTCGGACAATTGCTTAAGATGTGAGTCCCTCTGCAAAATGTAAATCCTGCCTTGGCAATAAGGTGGAATCCTGGCATAGACTGGAAGCTTTTTAAAGTAGTTTTACAGCTCCCAGCAAATGGCACAGCCACTGGCAACCTGAGCCTCTCCGTCTGTCCAAAACTCAACGTTAAGGTGAAATTAAATGGCTGGACTGAGGATGTCAATTTTAGGAAAATAAGAAATGATTTTTAGAACAGAGAGGAAGCAAGCTGGAGGCATACGTTGTAACAGTTTTTATGTACTATTTTGAGGGGTTGCCACAGAATGTATTGTCCGTGGGAAGGCACCCCCCTGGCCTGTACACCGGGCCAGTTTTGTCTTCCCCGGATAGGCTCTCTTAGTCTCAGTGGCAGTGTTCCCATGTTCATAATGTTAGCCTAGAACACCCATCCTTTGTGATAGGCCTTCTGCTTCGGATGTGGGACTGCCACTCACGCTATTGGGCTCGAGGATCAGCAGAGTCACCCAGATATTTACTCTCTGTCTCCAGCTCCTCTGGATAGCCCTGAGGACTCAGGCTTGGAACTCACTAGGCTTATCATCTGGACAATGCTGTCCTTTTCCACTGTGGACTTTCATAACCACCCTGCGGCACTCACCTTCTGTGTTCGCACTCTCATCATTTGCTCAGGGAGGTGCAGACCTGTGGAAACTGCACTGGGGCCAGTGTGCCACTTGGGGATCTGGGAAGCAGATTGTCCTGGAAGGGCCCTCCCACACATGCGGTGGCAGCGTTGCTGCTGGGTGCTGCGGTGGTTTAAAAACGCTGTTGAGCATGGCCTCCTGCTCACAATGACGTTGAAACCAGGGGAGAGCAGGTAGCTCAGATACTTTTAACCTTTTGGCAACACATTTTTGGCATTTGCACAAATGTTAAAATGTGATTTTTGCTCATTTGGAACTGAGTGAATTTTACTCAGAAAAATATTTTTGAATAGTTATTACGCCTGCATGGATTCAGAATTTCAAAGACCCAATCAAGTTTACAGTGAGAAATGTTATTTCCACCCCACCCCTCAACCCATTTCCCTCTTTGAAAGCAGGCATGGTTAGAAGATTTATGCGTGTACAAGCAAGTGCACCACAGCTGCTTCTGCCCACCTGCATACACGTTAGCACACTGTGAGTCCTGTTATTTTGCTTCCTTGCCTCTCCCTCAAAATTTACCTTAGAGATGATCCTATGTGTATCGGTCCATAAAGAATGTCTTCATGCTCTCTTCTGTGACTGCGTGGTATCCCAGTGCACAGAGGGACTGTAAGTTATTTAATTGGTCCCTTAGTAATGCATGGTTAGCTTTTTCCAGGTTTTAGTGATGACCTGAAGGACTAAACCACTCTTACCCTTTTCCAGGTTGACCACCTTGAAATAGTTCCAGATACCGAAAGGTACCCTGTGGCAGTAGCCACTGCTAGAGATCTGTTCTACGTGCTGAAGGCGGACGACTCTGCCAGAACCCGCCCTGTCGTCTTTGCCCAGCCTGTCACCTGTCTGGATGTCTCGGCCAGCCAGGCTGCTTTTGGGGTGAAGAGTCTGGGATGGGTGCACGAAGGAAGCAAGGTACAGAACAGCCAGATGAGCAGTGAACAAATTAGAATATCAATTTTTATTTTATAGAAGGCAATTTAAAAAAATTAAAGCTCTAAGATGTATTGGGGAAAAACATTCAAGCTCCTGAAAAGGACATGAAGTGAAAAGTAACTGTTTCCTTTCTCCTCCTTTCAGCCCCACTCCACAGACGAAGCTGCTAGTAGTTTTAATGGGTACCCATCTGGAAAAAAATCCATACACGTGTAGGTGCATTCATACTCTGAAAAACATACCTTTGCAGAAAAAAGTTTTCAGCAAAATGTATGTTCTCACCAACAGTGCATAAAAGGACCTCTGACACTCTCTGAGAAAAGTTTTTGACATTCTTTGCATGATAATGAAATTTTATCACTACCTCGCATGTTACTATCCTACTGTAGGCCATGTACTTAGTCTGAAGTCTTAAAGCTGATTTGTGGACCTCTCTTTCTCCTCTAGTGGAGTAAGGGGAGAGGGGAAAGTTTTGTTTGGTTTTGGTTTTCCTTCAGTTTGCCTGCTCTTGACCCTGGGAAGAAACTTCTGTGGGCTGTTGGCTTCTCTGGTAGCATCCGTCTCCTGAGGGAGGAGGCCCTTCTCCACGTGGCAGAATTGTGACCTGAGAAGAGCCAGGCTCTGGACACACATGGTCCAGTCCCAGCCCTACTACCTGCTACCCCGTGTAGCCTTAAGCAGGTTGCTCGCCCCTCTTTATGCCTCAGTTTCCTCATATGTAAAAGGGAGTTCATAACAGTACCTACTTCACAGACTGTCGGATTAAATGAAAATGTGTGCGTGAAGCTTTAAGCATGATGCCTGGTGTGGGACAGTTCACCACCACTGTGCGCATCCTGTTATTTCTACCAGTCATAGTGCTATACTGGCCTCTGGTTGTGATTTTTACATCTTGTTTCCCCTAACATATAAGTCACCTGTATGGTCAGGCCTCACTTACCTAGGTGTTCACTGGTTTTGCCACCCTAGTAAGTACTCAAAAGTGTTGAAGCATCCTGCATTCCAGTGATGTATTCTCACCCAGGAAGATAGGTGAGGCAGGAGAAAATCCATGAGGCTTACTGCACCCGCACTGTGGGAAGGGACTCCCTCTTGTGCTCGCGGCAGGCTGCCTTGTTGGAGCACATTCAGCATATTAGCAGGAAAGTCTGTGGTGCTGTAACTCCTGTATTTTGTCTTCCTGGGAAGTGGGAGGAGGGGGCAGCAATTGCTTTCCTAAGGCGGTTTCGTTTCTCGGGCTTTGAAAAAACTTTTCCGATCCCTGGTGAGCTCATTTGTTGGGAGAAGGAAGACTGCGTATTTGCTTTCTAATTTTTCACCCATTATGCTTTCAAGTTTGGGTTCTCTCATTTATTTCTCAAGTTCTCTGTGTGGTGAGGGGATAGATATATTTAATACCAGCCTGGTTTAAATTTTTCATATTTTCAATAAATTTTTCATCTGGCAGGTCCTATTTCTCTTTGACTTATCTAAGTAGATTTATTTCTGTGCACTCATATATTTTGATACAATAATAGTGGATATATTTGAGAAACCAGTTAAAGGGACAGTTTCAGCACAAAATCAGACTGGAGCATCCTTTAAACAGCAATGGTACGTAGGCACTTTTGTGGATGCCTCTGAAAATTTCCAACCCAATTAACAGTACTAATTAAAGGAATCTGCTCATTAATACCTTATTTTTATGAAAATTTATTTTAAAAAGTCTATAGTCCCTCAAATAACTCATTACTGGTATTTTTCATTGGTCTTTTAAAATTAAGAGTGGAAGTAAATTTGCCATAAGAAGTTGTTGAGATATCCTTTGAAATCTGACAGTAGCAATTAGTCACCCAATATTTTGTGAGTGTGGCAGCATGCCTTCAGACACTTGTGGGTGGGCGGCTGGTTGTTGTAATAACTTTGTGTCGAGATGTTTCTCCAACATGAATGCTACCCACGCCAACATGAGGGAAGCCAAACTTTTATCTATGAAACTTGCCTTATTTTTGTAGAGGCAGGACTTTCCGTCTGATTGTGTTGAACAGATTTTCTGCTTCCTCAGAAGAACCTGCATTTTTAATCAATGTAACTGTCATATAACATCTCTGTGTGACCTGAGCTATGTCATACTGCTGCTGTCCTATAGTGTAATGTCAGTGTTCCCAGCTAGTTTCCTGCACAGCTCTCAGTGTTGCTTTGCTTATGAATGCCACGGTTTGGCCGTGTCTGTGCTTAGCCTGGCAGCATGTGTCCCAGCACATTTTATTAGGTTGGGGTGAGGCTGTTAGCAGTAGAGTTTGCCTGGAGCTACATCCATGTGGGGGTTTGCGTCTGCGCCTCTGGCCTGGATAACTTGGAATCAGATGAAGGCTTTATGAGAGCAGAGTTTGGTTAATCTTCGTTTGTACCTGGTATAGAACTGGGGTTTAGTTATCGTCCATTATTGATTAGCTGTGATAAAAGCAGACAGCGAAGTCCAGATGTTGATACAGAATACATTTGAGTCGTGAACTGGAATTTCTCTAACCTGTATAAGTACTTGCGAGGTGTTATTTTTGTTTAGTTGGAGAACATCCTTGCCCCACATGATAATCACATTAGCACTTTATAGGCACCTCAGCTGTCTGAGCGCCAGATAATAACGGTTAAACCCACCCATTCGCATGTCCAGCCAGCCAGCCGTGGCGCGTGCCACACAGTCAGGGCACCAGCCGTGCCCCTGGCACTGGAGTGGGAAACAGCCTCGTGCACAGATTTCAACAAACTGGGACTTGTCAAGTAACCGGCTCTATAATAAACAGTTTCCTAAGGAAATGAAACCGAGTAATGTAGCAGAATATATCTATTTAACCTTGAGAAAAGGCTGTGAATGCAGCTGGTTTTATCATTTCCAGATCCCTTAGGAAGGGTCAGAGAGAGCTCGTGCTCTGTACATCGTGGTTTGCTTATGGCATAAAGATTCCCGGACTTTCGAATTTCAGAGGCCAGGCCTGGGGACCACACTTGGAATCACCAGCATTTTCTTTTCCCAAGTAAAGTCATAGAAAAAAATGGCCATTGTCTATTTTCATTCTTTGTTAAAAGATTAGATCTTTAAACTTTTTTTTAAAGAGTACTTTTAAACGAGGTAATGGTTTCACCTGACTGAGAAACCAAAAGATACAAAAAGAAAGGCTGTGTAGTGGCATGGCCCTTTCCCACTCCTTTCAACCTGCCACTCCGTTTCTTTCCCTGGAGCCAAATCAGTACATCCTTCCAGAGATATTTTATGAGTAGGTAAGCAAATTATTCCAGACATGCCTTCAGCCCCGTCTTTTGAAAAAATATAAATGGCAAAATACCATATTGTTGTTCTGCACCTTGCTTTTTCCTGCAACAAAATCTCTTAAAGATCATTTCATCATTTCTTGTGACGTAATAAAGAACTTGTGGTGTTTGGTGGTTTTGTTTTGTTTTTTTGCAACTTTATGGTACTGCACTTGAGGATGGGCTGTGATTAATTCGGCGTGCCGTCTATTGATGCTCGCAGCCTTTTGCTGTTGTCAGCCACACTTGGTCCACATAAATGTATTCGTGGGGTCAGTTCCTCGAAGTAGAGTTGCTGGGCCAAAGGGGTCTGTGCCTTTATGATTTTGATAGCTGTTTCCTCTGTAGATGGTGTCCCTTGGAGAGAGGCAGAGGGCTGTAGCTCCCATTTTCCTGGCAGTTCCTTGAGAGAGAAATCACAACAAAATGAGCCCAGAGGAATGTACAGAGGCCTGTCTGCTCCTACTCTTCATTAAGTTATTTTGTAGCTCTCTGCTTTTAGGATGAATGACTGTTCATTTATAGTCACATGGCTTTACCTGGAACTGGTGCTGTGAGACCAACAGCCCTCTCAGGCCACCGTTAGGTTGGAAAGAGCTGTATGTGTTCCTTCTTGGCTTACTTAGTACCATTTGAGGTAGAGTCCACTGTTCTTTTAAGATGGTAAGCCTACCTGCCTCTTTTCCATAAATTGAGGAGGGTTGGACCTTCAGACTTTCTGTCTAGTGTCCACGTTCCTTGAATTTTGGATGAAGTAATGAGGTGGTTGAAACTTCTCCTTTACCTGTGGAGTTGTGTTGAGCTGCTCCACCATTGGAAGCTGCTGAGTAGCTGACGGCTTCTGAAATGGGCTGAGGCATCCAGTACTCTGCATTGCCTCTCTAACGAGATCTCCCCAAGATCCCCAAGGGCCATGTCTATTGCTGGCAGAAATGATTGGGCAGGAAATTGGACCTTTTTCATCACTTCCTATGCCTTGCTGGGCCAGGGGTATGTGTCGGGCAGGGCTCCTCAAAGGTCTTTCACTTTTAGATGAAGAGAGATACTTAAGTTTTGCTGTTGGGTTTTCAGGTTTCAGTGGCATAAATGACCTTAAAGGTAGCCGTTGCTAAGTGGCAACTGATTGTAAAAGAAAGCAAATGTGACAGCCATCTCTCTGGCCCGTTTCCTCACCACACAAAGGGCTATGACTGAGCTGGCACTGAGGATCAGTGTCAGCTCCGTCATAGCCCTTTGTGCCCAAACGTTTCTGTGTCTCATATTTCCTGAATCTGTCAAAAATACCACCCCCCATGAAAATGTATGTGCCATCTCATATCATTATGAATTCTTCTGCTCCCTGAATTAAACTTTGCTCTCAGAGGTGGAGGGTTAGAGGACAGAACTGCCTCGCTTAAGAGCATTGTGTTGACGCCGAGGCCCATGCCTCATAAAGGGAGAGAGATCCACTTAGGGCTCTCAGCATCATTCTACGTATTTGGACATATTTCCTAATTTAGTCCTGAAGGACTTGGCATTCAGTGGCAGGCTGTACTTAGCAGCACACGGCACGCATCCTAATCAGGAGATGCGAGTGAAGTCATTCCGAAGGCTGCGGTGTGTTTGACAAGGACGTTGGCCTGGCGCTGCTGCCTCAGCTTACATCACGCTGGAAAATAATTGCAAACGTTTCTTAGGATAATCACTCCCTT